CGAAAATAAAAATCTTAAAATAAAAGTATTAAATTAAAATAAAAATCTTGTTGAAAATAAATCTTTAAAATAATATCGTGAAAGACTTTATTAAATTAACAAAAATCGTGAAAGACTTTATCAAGTTAGAGACTTGAACACACAAGAGAACACGCATTCACTATAAACAGGAATTGTGGCTTGGTGAAAAGGACCCAACAATAATGTTACCCCAACACCATCCAAAAATTGTCAACCCCATCCAACAACTTTTCTTCCTTTACGCCATTATGTTATTTAGTTTCATCACATTTTATGAAACTCATGACCACAATATTTGTCATATGTGGCACATATATAGGACTAAATCCAAAGAGGTAAACATATTTCTTTTTCTATTTTCACCATGAATAGTTAAAAATGGATAAGAAACTAGTTGACGCCAATAAATCATCCTATTTGAATTTTTTGATAGATTGCGAATATGTAATGAAGCTTTTACTGCGATTTCACTATATTTTCCATATTCAAAAAAGCTATATTGAGATTCAAGATGGTTTTATTGTCTTAGAAACCTGCCTTTGCCACGACAAGTTATTCGAGGTAAATGTTGTTCGTCCTTGGTTTAGGTTTTTTCTTTAATTTGTAGATAACAAAATTGACATCGCAAAGAATACCGTTTATTTAATTGACCTTTTTGACGCATATTTCACCGTCTAGTGCTTGAAATGGTCCTTGAAAATGACTACAATTAATATTCACATATTCCATTGTAGAAATGATGTGGAATGGCGTGGTTATATACTCATAGGTTTTTTGACTAAAATGTTTAGCCATAATATTGCTAAATGTGCCATTATTGTGGATTTGACGATGTGATAACACATTGAGACGCAGGTGGTACGCTGAAAACATCATATGTGATCACGAGTTTCCTCTCAGTCTTTTACCATCCATATGTTGTCACTATCGTTATTGGACGAGGGTTTTCAACTTCTTTGTTTAAGTTTAAAAAGTCTTCCCACCCCTTTTATGCTTATTTTGTAGTGAAAATATACAAAGGTCTATACTGGTTTGTTATGGACCTCACAATCCATGATGTTTCACAACATAAAGATAAGAAACAGCAACAGAAAAATAACATCTTCACCTGCAACGTTCCATCAGCAGACGCAGTTAGCAAAGCTCCTTTAAATTGGGCAAAATCATTCACCCTTCTAGAATGTCCTGTGTGTGAGTCTGTCTAGAAGATGAAAAGAAAAGCGTCGACGTCAGAAGGTAATGCCGAAGGAACTGGATTTAGCACCCCCATCCCAGAGTTTCTTAGATTCAACCAATTAACCGCGTATTGTAGCGTAGAGATCTCTTTTGAGTTTTGTGTACAGTAGAAGGGTATTAGTTTGATCCTAGTGTTCAGGAAACAATGAAATAAGCTATTATGTCGTTTTAGTATGATATACGGTTTACGTGCATGGAAAACAGGTTTCAGTGTGATAGCCTTTCACTAGAAAGTAAATTTTCGTTTAATTTGACACAAAAAGTTGACGAAAACTGAACTTTGGAGCAACAAAAAGTAAGAATACCTTGGTATTACCTGACGTTATACCGAGTATGCAAATTAATATGGTTGACTTGTGCATGGGATCTTAATACATCTGAACTTAGACTAATAATCTGTACACCATCCATTGCATGTTATTCCCAGTAATAAGAGAGCTGCGAACTGATAAAGAATTGACAAAGAGAACTTCGACGTTTCGAGCGAAGGCCCGCTAACTTCCCGACGAAGGGCACGAAACGTCGACGTTCTCTTCATATTTTCCAGGTGGTTGTATCCCTGTCAGTTCGCAGCTTTCTTATTATTGGGATTACCTACACTGGCACAGACCGTTCGAGATTAGCCCCAGTGACTGTATAGTCGTAACTCCATTCACATGCATGAGCATTGTATGACATCAAGATATAATAGGGAGATTTAAGGACATGTAGTACTCCCAGAGGTACTGCTTGATATATTAGGGAAATTATTCATGTACAACACAACAACACATTTTCCCTTGAATATCAATTCGCAATAAGCTGCACAAGGTGATCATTAGTGATAAAGGAGATGCTCCTGGTATTTTACTATTTTACTACTGGTCGCTGCCTTATTGAAAGTCTTTAATCTACTGCACATTACCTGTTCAAAGATATACATGACATTGCATACATTTATTATTTTCTACAACGTAATAGCTTTACCTTGATTAACTTATATGAATTCGCAGTTGTGTCAATATAATAAATGCTTTCACGACCAGCAACTCGTAACAAACTATAACCATCGTTCCAGTAATGCAGTGAAAACGCTGGAGATGGGAGCTGAAGCAAAACGCATATAAAGTAACATCAATTATAATAACGCATATAAAATTACATTAATTATACTAAAAACGCATATAACATTACATTAATTATGATAAAAACGCATATAAAATTACATTAATTATAATGAAAACGCATATAACATTACAATAATTAGTATAGGTAATCATACGATGCCGAGTACAATTAGGGATTAATAGTACGAGTCAGGAGTACTATTAATCCCTAATTGGACGAGCAACATCGCATGATTACTTGTTTATTATTAGCATGACAAAATTGGATAATTCTGAATGTCAACATCATGTTCTCTCGCCAAAGCCCAGTCCTGCCAGACTTTCAACCAAAATTTGCTGCTTTTGTTCATATTTTCATTTAGTTCTTTTGCTTTAAGTTCCTCAGAGCAATTTCATTTGTGTTTAAATACCTTTCCGCAATTTTGTTTGTTTGGGGAAAATCATTAATTGTACTGCAGTACAATTAATGAAATAATTGTACTCCTCTAAACCAATCAGCATCCAGTAATTTGGTCATGCTGATAATAATTATCATGAACTAAAATTGGAATACTGGAGTGGAAGTACTTTAAAAAGTGTATTTTTCTCTACCTGTAAAGTTTTCCACAGTTTTCCAGCTTTCCTATCAAAGATACGTAACGTTTTATCTTCACTCCCAGATACAATGACGTCATCGTCAACATGCACGCACAGCACAGAACGTGTATGACTCTTTAACATAGCCACTACTGAGAATGCTGAAACAGAGAAATAGCAATGGTTACAGGAATCAGGTGCCCGGGGAAAGTTCAAATTATCATGGGAAAATAATGTTTCTCCTTTGTTGCTCGTTTGGGCAAGTAAATTAGATTCGCCAGAATTGAGTGAAACATAGTTATTCAGTTTGCTTACGTAATCACAACACAATGGTTTACTTGTGTTCTGTCATATATATGTGCTGCATATACTGATTACAAAACGAAAATTGATTGAAATGAATTTTTTAAGCAAGTGAAACAAGAGGCGAGGGAAGTTCCCACTCACAGGCAGGGTCTGTATCCACGTCAATAAATATTCCAATTTTATGCACTAGAACAATATTCTAGTACAATATGTTAGTGCATTTTTGACGCACGGATGCTGAGAAGCAACATCTATGAGTCTTTGTCGTTACTTGACTATCGTAAAAATGATGAAATATCCGATTTATATGAGTTTATCTTACAATTTCCCCGACTTCCAATACAAGGCCGACTTCGGTAGTGGTGACTTCCAATACACTTGTCCTCGTGCTTCTTGCGAGCAGGGAGCATGCGCATGACATGTTGTTAGTATAGGTATTGGTATCGTAAGTCGAACTTAAACTCTCTAATAAAGAGACACAGAAGGTTGACTCAGTCAAAAAAGCGTAACCGCTGCCACGCCATGATTCGTCATCAAAATGCTGACGCCATGGTCCTAGCCAGATGCCCTTATGAGAGGCATCCCCCCTGGATGTCCGCCATTTTAAATATTATCAAGGGTGTGAATGCCTGTCATAAGCGCACTGGCTAGGACCATGGCGTCAGCATTTTGATGTACGGTTACGCCAAAATCATAGGAAAAACAAAGAAGTCGGGCTTCTATATAGTCTCTATTCTGTGCTACTGGTATCACTGGAATCACCAACCAAGGGCCAGTCGCTCGAAACGTTGAATTCCTCCTTGTTTTTTTCAGGTAGTTGCATCCCTACCAACGAAAGCTTATTATTTCTCTACCTAACACAGGACTTCGTGCTTAAATATAACTCTAGGTTAACCAGGAAAATTTTAACCAGGATGTTTTTAGAGTGTATTCGAAAGTCTACGTTTTCGCAGCAATACAAGGTTCCAAGGGTAATTAAATTGGAAAACGCTTGCGGAAAGAAGAAAGGAGCAGCAACTAAAATATGTATCGAAAGCTCTTACATGCGAATGTCCTGAGAACAATTTCGGATATGTTTAAAATATCTAAATTAGGCCTATCTAAGACTAAGCCCAAAACCAATTGAATGAATGAAAAGGACTTTCGGATATGCTGCTGCCAAATTAAGTATGGAATGCAATCAATGCATGAAAGTAATAATAAGTAAAGTTTAAAATTTTTTTTATCTCATTTGAAGTGTGAGGGGGGGAATAAGGGAGGTTCGGGCGAAGAAATTGCTAGTATATACAGTATAGTGAGGTGGTGGACTCATTAACTATGCATTACATTTTCATACGGTAAATACTCCCCTTATTCCCAAATAATTTTCACTGAAAATTAAAGCCCAGTATAAAATTTTTAAAATAAATTTTACTTTTACTAAAAAGTTTACTTTTATAAAATTTAAAAATTTTACTTCTACTTGTCTTTCATTTTAGACATGTAAAATAGATTACTTTTATAAATTGCCTTTGTTTAGAAATGCAAGACATGTAAATAAAAGACTTTTATTATTCCATGTTGTTGTAAGACTTTGTACTCATGCAATATTCCGTTTCCACCCGGAAAATGCAATACAGCCAAGCCGAACCAATTTATAAAAGTATTAACATTATAGAAGCCAGCAAATCTTCACTTATCATCAAAGTAACTATGGTTTTAAAATATCTCTTTTACTGGGGGTGTTGCGTCGATAATTAATTAGGCCATGACCATGTAAAGGAAATCCGGTTTTATCATCAGCTCCGCATCTGCATGTTTTCGTGCATCTATGTAATAAAGTGCTCCGTCTAAATTTTGTTGTTTGCCAGTCAAGCAACATTTATATACTGATTATAAATTTCTATATTAATATGAATGTACCAAAAGTGAGAATAAAAAATATTGTATTGTATTGCATTGAACGAAGAGGAAGGGAGGTTGATGATGCATTTCACACAGGAAGTACATACTAGTCTCTCACATGACATAAATAGCGACTGCGCTATACAGGAAATGTAAAGGGGACAATTAAGGCTTGGATATACTTTAAAGCCCCGGTCAAACGAGGATGGGATAGTCGATGGGAGTTGCCAGTCACGCATTGTTATGGGCGACATTTCGAACTCTGCATGATTAACAAAATAAGAATCTGTTCCAACTATGTTTTAATTTAACTAAAATACACTTACATACACTAAAATACACAAGGTTTTCAAAATTACTGTCCAACATGCAACTCGGTGCTGCGTTCTAGTCATGGTCGCAACGATGAAAAGTATCCTTTAGGAAATATGTAATTTTTTGTTTGCCTCTATGAAAACAATGTAAAAACAAAAATTTAACCGTAATCTGTACCCGTTGTTCGTAATGTCGTTCCTACGTACGTCGCAAAATGCCACAGGCTTATATGTATGAAAGAATTCATATCGAACTTATGACATCATATGACTATATATGTACTGAATGAGTGTTTACGTTCTTATAACATGGTCCGCCCATACGCTCAACTGTTCCCATTGACGCTATTCAATGAAAAGGACGCTATTCAATCAGTTGATTATTATCCAAAGATGGATTTAAAAGTTTACATCCAGTTAATATTTTTGTGCTTGGTGAACATACTGTTTATTTGCGCAGGAATAGTTTTAAACACGTTGGCGATAGTCAGTTATTGGAAGTCCTCTGCATATCTTCGAAGTAAATTATTTTATTTCATGATCATGGTACTATCGTGCTTCGACTTTCTTGTGGTGATAACGAATCATCCATTATTGATTCTTCTCCTAGTCTTCTGGTTAAATGCAAAGTATGATTTAATCGCTATGACCCAGATTTGTAAGCAATTTTCAAGCTTGTTTGTTAGGTTTTCTCTCATCGCACTCCTGGTAATGGGCATTGAACGATATTTGGGAGTATACTATCCTTTCTTTCATCGAACATCGGTAACCAGACGCAGACTGCTAACACTCCTTGCTTCATTATGTATTCTACCAATTATCACAACAATGATTTCCGTGTATGACGGGGTAATTTCCATTCCAGTGGCTTTAATAATTTTCTTCGCCATTGTATTTCCACCATTTGCGTTCATCAATTACAAATTGTTTAAGATTTCCAGAAAAATGCGACGCCACAACACTGCATCATTCCCCGAGGTATCAAACTTGCGTGTTAATTCAAAGAACATTTCTACGTGTTTGTTGGCAGTTGCCTGTCTCGTGTTGATATACATTCTAGCATTCTTCTTCATTGCGTTTAACTTGGCTGAGAAATGGACGTCCGAAAACGCGAGGATGTCTAGACTTTGGAGTGGCACTGTATCTGCTGCGAATTCTACATTAAACTGTTTGATCTTTTTTTGGAAGAATGACGTTTTACGCAGAGAAGGAATAAAGGTATTGAAGACCTGGAAAAACAGTTTTTTCGCATCTAAAGCTAGCCTATAGTTTAATTTAACATTATAGTTCCATAAAACGAATTAAAATTCATCTAGGCATATAAGACATGCATGTCGTACGTCAAGCCTGGTCAAGGATAAAAATCAATTAAAGGCAGGGCGCGAAATAACGGCCGGTCAACGGACAATGTCCGGCCAGAATGCGGAGTTGTCCGCTCAAATTCTTACCTTGCCGGTCATTTTGACCGATCACTTTCGGTAAAATGACAAACTAATCTTCATTTGAATTAATAATCAAAACAAAGTTGTCAAGTATTGTAATTAAGAACCATAAGATGTTGTCGAATATTTTGCGGGAAAAGAACTTCAATGTACGGCAGCTTTCCCACGTTACAAAGCCCATGGCCATGCTTTTGGCTTAAGAGTTAAAGGTCATGCTTTTAGCGCAGCGCAAGCTGTTTTATGAGCCTTTATGTGAAGGGGTTTTTAATTACTGATTACAGTATAAGGCTTTTTGTAATGCTAAAAAAAATATGGGAAAATAGTCCCATTTTTAGGGAAAATAG